ACCCCAATTCACTCATGCACACCTCTTTATCCTCACTTTTTAAATTTTCTGGATGACATTGCCCTTGTTATTACCATTATTTCCAGAAATGTCATTGTACACAAAACTAGCCACCACCATGGACTACCTTCGGAGGCTATCAAAAGTTGCCATAGTGGTGTACGATCGATCATGTGAGGTCCTTTCCGACCATGGATGACAAATCCATGGTCGGAAACGGCCAAATCTTTGGTCTTGAAACAGTCGGCGTTTCACAATCACAACCAAAGACCTAACCATTTCACGGCCATGGCCAGATCTATGGCATTGTTGGTGGCCGTCGACAGTGGTGGCTAGTTGTCGGTGGTGGCTTGGTTGAGTAGGGGTGTTTTTGTTAAGTTTAAAACATTTTTGGTTGCCAGGGTGTTTTTGCTAAATCTGAAAAGTGTGGGGTTAAAAGAAATTATTCAAAAAATAATAATAATAAAATATATTTAAAAAAGAGGGTAATTTATGAATCTTTATAACATATCCATCCATTTATCCTCCTAATTAAACATATTATTTGCCAATTTATTTGAATCAACCAAACACATTTTCTAAACATTCCAAATAATCTTCAAAGTGATTTTTTATTCCGTTAATATAATATCTCTTATAATAAAACATTATATGGTCCAAACGCATCCTATAAGTAATAAAACAATATGAAAAGAATTAGTAAAATAAAATAGTGGACGCTCCTTTCAAGTTTTGTGTTGGTTTCCATGTGCAACAAATTACAAGATTATGAGGTTGAAAATGTGGGCTTTAATTCAAATTTCAAGCCATAGTGTGGTTAAATCTAGAACCACTCATTTAGTGGTGCACCAACTTAGCCATGGCCCACCGGAAATGGAATACCACGGCGGTGGTGGTGCATCAGGTGCCAGCCGGCTAACTGGTGATGAGTCAATGGCTAGTGGGTTGTTAGGGTACCAAGCAAATTAAGGCCTCAACCAGGAGGAATTATGATAAATTATAGCTTCAATAATATAGTTGACTTTACAAGAAAAGACGTCAAATTGCTCTTAATAATTAGAGATTTAATTAGAATAGAATTAACTCTGTCTTCTTTCACGTTAACACAGTTGTTTATTATAATTTTTTTTTTCTTTTTTTTTTTTTGTTTTGTTTTGGGTGGGCAATTGTCAATGAATAGTGGCTTGAACTCTAAAATTGGTTCGACACTTAAGAATGTTTGTTCTTTTTATTGACTTCTTAGGTTCGAACCATTTTAGGGTTATCTATCATATTTGTGGCTTACCTTGAAACATTAAGCTTATCGGGCGTTCAGTGGACTCAATTAGTTGAGATGCGTACAAGTTGGTCTGGACACCACGGTAATTAAAAACAAAATGTGTTACTTAAAGATTCTAAATCAATTTCATGTCATAGGCACAAACTCACAATTTTTACTTATAATTATAGCCTAATGAACCCATCCGGAGGTAATCCAAATGGTTAGGACAGACTGTAAGATAGTGTGAATAGATGCACAGTCTCATATTCGACTCTTCATCTGAGCATTTATAATTTAAGTGTGGTTTAAAAAAATATATATATATCATAGCCTAATGAAATATGTCTATCTATGACACAAATCAAAGTTGAGCATTTGATTTTGTTTTGTTATTAAAACTTACTCAAGATAATTTGATTTTCTTTCCCATATTGCCCCTAAAAAGTTGAGCATTTGATCCAAATTAGTCTTATATTTGTTAAGATTTACAAAACACCCCAATTCACTTTGTCCTCATTTTTTAAATTTTCTAGATGACATTACCCTTGTTATTGTCATTATTTACAGAAATGTCATTATACACAAAACTAGCCACCACCGCTAGCCATTGTGGATCATCGCCAGAGGCTGCCAAAAATCGCCATAATGGCGTATGACCGGTCGTGTGAGGCATTTTCCGACAATGGATCACAAATCCATGGTCGAAAACAGCTAGGTCTTTAGTTGTGAAACAATCGGCGTTTCACAACCAAAGAATTGGCCATTTCACAACCAGATCTGTGGTTGTTTCACGGCTATGACTAGATCTATGGCATTGTTGCCGGCCGTCGACCGTGGTGGCTAGCTGTCAGCAGTGGCTTGGGGTGGGTAAGGGTGTTTTTATTAAGTTTAAAACGTTTTTGGTTGTGAGAGTGTTTTTGCTAAATCTGAAAAGGAAGAGGTTAAAAGAAATTATTCAAAAAATAATAATATATTAATATTTAAAAAAGAGGGTAATTTAGGAATCTATATAACATACCCATCCATTGATCCTCCTAACCAAACATATTATTCACAAATTTATTTGCATCAACCAAACACATTTTCTAAACATTCCCAATAATCTTCAAAGTGATTTTTTATTCTGTTAATATAATATCTCCTATAATAAAACATTATATGGTTCAAACGTCTCCTATAAATAATAAAACAATATGAAAAGAATTAGTAAAATAAAATAGTGGACCCTGCTATAAAGTTTTGTGTTGGTTTCCATGTGCAACAAATTACAAGATTATGAGCTTGAAAATGTGGGCTCTAATTCACATTTCAAGCCATTGTGTGGTTAAATCTAGAACCACTCATTTAGTGGTGCACCAACTTAGCCATGGCCAACCGGAAATGGAATTCCACGGCAGTGGTGGTGCATCAGGTGCCAGCCGGCTAACCGGTGATGAGTCAATGGCTAGTGGGTTGTTAGGGTACCAATCAAATTAAGGCCTCAACGTGGAGGAATTATGATAAATTATAGCTTCAATAATATAGTTGACTTTACAAGAAAAGACATCGAATTGCTCTTAATAATTAGAGATTTACTTGGAATAGAATGAAGTCTAAGTCTTCTTTCAACTTAACACAATTGTTTATTATAATTTTTTTTTCTTTTTTTTTGTTTTGGGTGGGCAACCGTCAATGAATAGTGACTTAAACTCTAAGATTGATTCGACAGTAAAGAAGGTATGTTCTTTTTATTAACTTCTTGGGTTCAAACCAGTTTAGGATTATCTATCATATTTGTGGCTTACCCTGAAACATTAAGTTTATAGGGTATTCAATTAACTCGATTAGTTGAAATGCATTCAAGTTAGCCTAGACACCACAGTAATTAAAAACAAAATGTGTTACTTGAAGATTCTAAATCAATTTCATGTCATAAGCACAAACTCACAATTTTTACTTATAATCATGGCCTAATGAATCCATCGGTAGGTAATCCAAATGGTTAGGACAGATTGTAAGATAGTGTAAATAGATACACGGTTTCATATTTGATTTTTCATCCGAACATTCATGATTTAAGTGTGGTTTTAAAAAAAAAAATCATAGCCTAATGAAATATGTCTATCTATGACAAATCAAATCCGCCGCTTTGACATTTTCAATCCCATAACAAAAACGTTGTTTTAAATTGTTTGATATGTTACTGTTGGTGCAATAATCAAGAGAAAGACCTCAGGATGTAAAGAAATTTGGTATATGAATATTAAATTCTAAACTTGAAAATAATACGTTAAAATAAAAAAAAATAGGAAAGTGGAATGAAAATGGGACGGTGGTGTAATTCTGGAATCCCAGAGAGTGATGAGCTGGTATGACAAGGAGCTTTCTATTTCATCCAAATGGAAATTGGGATTTGGGGCCATAATTTTCAGACATGTCTTTTCAGATATTGTCTCCACTTCTAGATTTGTCCATCATTTCTCTACCCTTGTATTCTAGAATCATTAGAAGTATTATAACCAATATCTTCTTGTATCAATCAACCAACACCTCTATAACCTTGGTTGGTTGACCACGGCGATCCCCTTTCTTTCGGGTTTTTATTGCTTTAAAAACCGATTTGCTAAGAGTGGGTATCCAAGTTTTTTATGCCCTTTTCTCTCGGGTTTTTATTGCTTTGAAACCGATTTGCTAAGAGTGGGTATCCAAGTTTTTTATAACTCACATATCTATCATTTTCTCTTTTAGATCTTAACACACCAACAAATTTATAAATACATAAAACTCTCCAATTTATGTCAATTTAAAATATGTTAATCTCTATTAATTATGTAATTAAGAACAAAAAAGAATAAAATAATTTTGGGTAAACTAGGTACTTATCCCTTTTATGACTGGAATATAAGATTTTTAGGTATAATTAACCAAATGACTAACGTGTTTGCCATTCAATCATAAGGGAAAAGGCTAAAAGGGTAATGTAATTGGTAAAAAGAATAAAGGAGCTCATGAGATATTTCAGTTAAACTAGTAATTTAATAAAGAGATAAAAAAGAAGAAAAACAAAAAAAGTGGGCCAATAAAAGATCTCACAAACCATACAACTGCCAAGCCACAGCTTTTGCTAAATAATTCACAAGATGGTAGTGTCTTCTTGTGATGATTGCCGTTTGATTTATTATTGTTTTTTTTTTTCCAATAACTTATTTTAACAGATAAATTTACTAATTAGAAATTGGTCAATTGTTACATACTTATGGTTTGGTCTCACAACCTATAAAAAACTCCTATAAATACTATTTATAAGCATATATAAACCACCCCTAAGTGGTCAAGTAAGGAAATAGAAACTCTTAGGCGTATTATTTAAGAACTCTTAAATTCAATTCTCTTGAACGTTAACTTCAGGTTAGTCGAGGTGTGCACAAATTGATCCAAACACTTCCGATTAAAAAAAAAATAATAAATAAAAAACACTACTTATATATATAATTCTATATTAAACGAATTAGAGATTTTTGAATTATAAAAAACAAAAATAGTATTTGAATTGGACAAACTAAGATTCCACACTTACACATATTAATAATATATAAATTAAAGTCTTAATAAAAAAAAGAGAAAAAAAAAACAAAGTAGTAATCTTTATGAGAACATACCATTATATGTATGGTGACAACAAATGAACGTAATAATCTAAAGTGTCTTCGTTTCACACTAAGAAACGAACCCTTTTTTGGTTCATTACGACTCTCTTCTTATCGGCTATAAAACCAGTCCACGCCTTCATATTTTCAGCACAAAACATAGCAAAAACTAGTCAGTAAGAGCTTCATTTTAGAGCTGAGAAATGGTCTCCAATACTATTTTCTGGTTTCTGGCTCTTACAAGCTTGTTCTTGAGTTTGAGTTTGAGTTTTTCGGATGCTCAAATGGTTCCTGCTGTGTTTGTGTTCGGAGACTCTTTGGTTGATGTTGGCAACAACAATTACCTTCCTCTTTCAGTTTCCAAAGCAGATTTTCCTCACAACGGTGTCGATTTTCCCACCAAGAAACCGACTGGGAGGTTTACAAATGGCAAGAATGCTGCTGATTTTCTTGGTAATTAAGTTTTACCGTAGAGTTTCATCTTTTATTTGACATATATTTTACTAACTTTATACAGCTTTTTAAATCTCTTTTTTCATTGTCACCTTTTCATGAACCCCAATATTTCATTGTTTCTCCATTTTTGTGCTATTCTATTCTTTACCATTCAATATGGTTGAGCATCAGAATATATCAACAGTAAGTTTGAATATTTGGGTCAACTATTTTACCAATAAAGTGGATGCTGATATGGATGCTTCTTGGCATGTGGTAAAAGTTAGTTCCTGGGTTTCATGTGCATATCTTTACTTCCTTTAAGATTCTTCTCAATCTATAACTTTATGCCATAACTTTTCAGATTATTATTTGATTATGTTTTCATACCCCTTTTACCATTTAACATGCCTCTTAACTTTTCCTTTTTCAAAACCGAGTAAACTCCACTTCTTATATAAAAACTTTTAGTTATAATCAAGTCACCTTTCACTATACGGACAGAGCGTAGAGTTTGCTTAATATATGATTAACATAACCAGGACAAGACCAATATACCATTGACATCTGATAAATATTTGGTCTATATATATGCTACTGTTTCATAGCATAAAAATAAGTCACAGTTGAACTGTGTCCATTATAATTAGATAGTGTTTGTGTATTTTTCTGATGGCTGATGCATATATGGGCAGCTGAGAAAGTGGGGTTACCCAGTTCGCCGCCATATCTTTCCTTAAAATCCAACAAAAATGAGGCACCATTATTCCTCACTGGTGTTAGCTTTGCCTCTGGAGGTGCAGGAATCTTCAATGGATCTGATCAAACTCTTGTAAGTCACAAACAATTTTGTTAAAATTCTATTTAGTTGAAAAATAAAAAGTAAAAGATTTGCGGTGAGCGTGGATCGAACACGCGACCTTCAGATCTTCAGTCTGACGCTCTCCCAACTGAGCTATCCCCGCTTGTGCCTTTTAAACTTTAACTTTATGTAATCTCTTTAACAGCATCAATCAATTCCTTTACCTACCCAAGTGGAATACTATGCAAATGTGTACAAAGCTTTAGTGCAACAGCTAGGAACCTCCAGTGCACAACAGCGCTTGGCCAAATCTCTCTTTGCCATTGTGATCGGTAGCAACGATATCTTCGACTATTCTGGAAAATCCGACCTTCAAAAGAAGAACACGCCCCAGCAATATGTCAATCTAATGGCTAACTCTCTGAAAGGACAGTTAAAGGTAACTAAGAAGAGGGTATGTTTCTTTCAGGTTCATGATTTTAAATTTTAAATACTTGAAGATGGTCTCTTTTTTCTTTGGCAGAAACTGTACAATTATGGTGCACGTAAATTTGTGTTTCCTGGGCTGGGGCCTATTGGGTGCACTCCGCTACAAAGGGTTAAGAACCAAACAGAAGAATGCAGTAAAGAGCTAAGTAACTGGGCCGCTATGTACAATGAGGCACTCAAGTCAATGTTGCCGGCATTACAAGGAGAGCTCAAGGGCATATCTTACTCCTACTTTGACACTTACAATGTTATGCTAAACATCATTAATAATCCAGCCTCTAATGGTACAGTGATTCTTCTTAAATTATTATTTTTTACTCTTTTTCGTATTCTTGGATTTGTAATAAACGAGTTATTATTTTTATTTCAGGCTTTAAAGAGGTTAAATCAGCTTGCTGTGGGCTTGGGAAACTGAAGGCCAAAATCCCTTGCGTCCCCGTTTCTACCTATTGCGCCAACCGAAGTGATCATATCTTTTGGGATTTTGTCCATCCAACACAGGCAGTTACTCGCATTTTTGTGGATACTATTTTTGATGGTCCATCACAATACACATTTCCGATGAATGTGAGGCATCTGGTATCTGTTTAAGCTTTCAGGAATATGAACTGAAGAGCATATTAAAAAGATCCAAAAGGAATATATAAACTTTGTCAAATCATATTTAAAGTGATGCTTGTATAAATTTCTTAAGAAAAATCAAACTAGCTAGTAATAAATCAGAACCTTTGATGCAATTAAGAGGGGAACAAGTCTTGGAAGAAGAGTTTGAGATCGCCCTTATGAATATCAAATGTCAACATCTTCTCAACTGCATCCTGCAATCAATTCAAAATAGTGAAAGTTCATAAAATACGAGAATTGAAAAGATGGTTAATTGAATTCCATAGTGACAAATCTTTTAGATCAAGAATCTGAAGAAACATAATTAAAACCTTGTATTGCTGATCTCGAGCTAATATATTCGCATGGTTCGAGCGCTCGACATGCCTGTTATTTTGAACAGCATCCAACACATTTGCAGCTCTCTTGATCACTTCCTCCGGCACACCTACATCAAATAGTTAAATAATTGGAATGACCGTGCTCTGTTAAATTGAATATAACGCCTGTAAACTAGACGGACGTATTTGCTAGTCTTTAAAAGTCTCAAGAACAAAAACGGGAGGACCAAAAATGTAATTGACTCAACATTGTAACATGTAAACAACCACCTTCAAGAAATTTTTACTTGCGTTTTTATCTAAACTTACCAGCAAGTAGTGCACATTGCAGTCCTGCAGGATATAGACTGATGTGAGTTTCAATAAAATTTCCAGCTCAAACCCCAGCATGCATTAACATAAAAAAACTCACCATAGCTAAGAGGTGCATGTCCAGGAACTAGCCTGCAAGAAAACAAAATGCATTTTTGTTATGGCTCAGTACTAACAACAACAATCAAGTCATTGCAAAAATTGGCATTCTATTTGTTCTTCTCATTCCTATACAGAGTCTTGATTCAAAACAACTAAAAACATACCGATATAGAAACACGATGTCTTCAATGTTTGTAGAGTTGTTTTCAGGTCTGAGCACACTCATGGTGTAAAATTTCACCTTCTCGGACTGAAATTAATCAAAGGGGAAACAAATTTCACTTCATAGCACCAAAACTATGAAACAAGGCAAATAGGCAGCTACTTTGCAAATATGCATACCTTTGGTAAGCAGCTTTCATTGAATAACTCGGTCAAGTGAGTACACAACAAAACCTGGAAATCAGTACAGCATTTTCCATCACTAGTCGCCCATAATGTGTGATTATGGCAGGAAAGGATCTGCAAACCTTTGGAGGATCATCACAAGTGACAAAATGATTTATGGTTCCACCAAGCAGACCAATGCCATCTGATTTGAACATTGAGGGCAGTTATTCAATGAATATTGTCTTTGGTATTGCGGGAATAATGTACATGACATCTCAAAACAAAGGCAAGACTAACCTTCTGTAAGAGTACCTTTACCAAATTCATCCAAAAGACATAATGACCGAGAAGTTGCCTGCCTGTGCAATTTATCAACAATAAATAGACACGAGTTTAGAGTACCATCAGGTAAATTTAACTTTTCACTATAAGCATCCAGCTACTCAAGCATTTTGATTATTTACAGCACAAGCGCTACTTTTAATACATCACCAATCATGAAACCATTTGGATTTAGAAGAAAAAGAAGGTCCATTACACACACTAACAGAGTCCAGAGAGCAAGGATCATGAGAGACAGACAATAAAAATAATGACTTAAAAATGCTGTGGTATTAAATTATCATAACTGGCTTTATCTGGGAATACCTTAGCATCATCCCTACTTGATGTAGGTCAATCATAAATGTTGATTGCTCCACGGTCATATGCTTGCTTCCCATTGCACAGAATATCCTGTTAAAATTTAACACTGTTAGAATAAATACAAGTATTTGACAAACAAAAGATATATATGCTGGAATCTCCAAGAAAGATGTCAGCAATATGGAGGGACACACCTATCAGTCAACCCAACAGTAGCAGCATCAGCAGGTACAAAACTTCCTATGTGGCTAAGAAAAACAATCAAAGCCACCTGGGAAAAAAGGAAAAGACTTTATCATAATACTTGTATTTCAAATGGAGTGCTATGCTGGAAAAAGTTTCACACATGTAAAGTCAGTAGCCATTTCCGCAACTCACGCATGAACACTCAAATGGTGTTTATAAGAGTTTAAAAGTATATTTTCTGACCTGCTTTATATAGATGCTTTTTCCTGAATAATTGGGACCAGTGATGATATTAATCCTTCCTGAAACAACCAGAGCTTGGAAGTTAAATAAAAGAATTGGTAGGATTAACAGGAACAGGCTCTGTTTTCACGAGTTAAGAAAAGGATCAGTAGCTATGATTGAATTCATATTTTTCATCTCACCATCATTATAAATCTTTGTATCATTGGGAATAAATGTATCCACTGTCATTTCTTGCAAAAGGTGCCTGCAAATTGTCATAAAAATAATTGTTAATTTTCTCCTTGTCATTATTTTAATTTTTTTTTTTCTTGGTAAGAATTGAAACTAATATTACTGGAAACACACCCTACCCATCCCTTATCACTACAACTAAAGCCAAAAAGAACTTTTAAAGTGGTTCAGTCTTACAATATGATGAACGGAAACCAGTCAGTTCTCACCTTCCATTTTGTATATCAAGCGACGTTTCCTGAGTCAAAATGGGCCTCACGTAATTGTTTTGATGGGCAACTAGTGCCAATGACAAAAAGCTACATAACAATATGAACATATAATAGTAAGAAAAGGGGTTGGCACAACGCACACAAAGAAAGGGACACGGTGTCGGTGGTGGAAATGATTCTTACCAATCAAGTTCTGCAGCAAAATTGACAGCTTTAAGCAGATGAGTTGAGAAAACAAGTGTATGTGACACTAAGTCTCTAGTGATTGCCCTCTCCATATCTTTAAATTAAGAATGAGAATCATTTATAAGGAAGATCTCATAAATACATTAAAAAAATAATAGAAGTCGCAGAGATTATGTCCTAATTCTTTGCATCCCGTTACTCATTAACTACCAAATGATGAACCACGCAGTCCACCACTCTTATCAATATTTTATTGTTTCAAGCAGGTGATCAACTCTAAACATCACATAATTACATTAATTTCATATTACATACCTAGAATTTTATGATAAATATCTCCAAGAAGATTGTCCAATTCACGCGTCTTTGGGGTACGATAGAAGAATCTTTTTGTCTCTCCATCCGCGTCAGAAAACTACATTTGATAAAACAGTATTTTAAGCATCTATGCGATATATAATACTAATGACTTAAGATATTCATTTAAACATAAAACAAGCATCAAATTACCGCAAATTCGAAATCTTGAAGTTTCTCTAGAGTAATGTCATCTAGTTTTTCTTCAAAAATACACATCAAGTATCCTACAATGGAAAAATATATAAAAAACAATTATTGACAAGAATGAGAAAAAACTTCAATAAAAAAGATCTCCAGTATGCCACAAGTTAAGATGGAATTATATGGAATCTAAAGAAGGCAGGCATCAGCGAAACATCTTGAAGAGCTAACAAAATAAAGAGTCCCACAGAATTATTTCTTTCTTAAAGAAGTTAAATTTTTTTTCCTTTTTCCCCAGGAAACACTCTGTACAGATAAATGGATGTAAATCATACGTTAAGATTAAAAATGAAATCCAATGTTATGTAGTATTCATGCTGTGCAAGACAGACCAACCTATTTGATTTATGTAAACAATACAGGGTACGAGCTTGTTTTTATACAAATGAGGAAGTTCTCCAAGCTCCAATCCTGCCACCTGCAAGGAATTGCTAAAATCAAAGCAGAACTAGATATATATTTCATTTCAATTCACGTTTAATTTTGAACTATAAAATCCGTTTCACAAGTACCTCTTCCAGAAATTCAGGCAGTCCCTCGTATATTTGCCTCAACTCATCCAACTGTAAACAAGTATGCAACTAAAATTTCGGATTTTGGCCAAGCAAATGTTTTGAAAAAAAAAATCATCTCGAATTAAATTCAACAGTCAGCTTCCATCAAACTGAGTTCATAGGGGAAATGTTATGCTGAATACAATATTTTTTTTAAAAAGAAACTGAGGAAAGAACAAGAGCAGGTTGTGTGCCATCGGAAGAGGGGACACAGAAATATTACGCTGACTTTAAACATCCAAAATTAATAAATAAAGGACTGGAGAATTATTGCCGACGGCTAACCTCATCACAGAAACCTTCTTTCACTAATGTCCCATATCCCTTCTCTTTACTTCTATTTACATCAATGACACCAATCACCTACAGAACATAATTGTCAATCTCATAAATTTGATCTATAAAAAAGGGGAATAACAAATGTTCCTGGAGCGGTAACTGCAACAATTGGAGCAAGGGATACAGGCCAAACAAAAAATATAACAAAAATTAGTACTTTGTAAATAAGATGCAATAAGAAGAAGAAAAGGGATATGGGTCAACCAATTCATAGACATAGGCCAGCTCTGTTGTGATGCATGAAGCAGCCTGCAAATAATTAGACAACCATTAACAAAACTAGTAACAACAAAGTAAATGAAGAAACCTCAAGAATAATAATATATGATTTCAGGGAAACTTCATGTTAGATATATAGTCTGATACCTTCTCAACAATATCTAAATTCAAAAGCCTCAACTGCTCTTGAAGACCTTCGGAAATGCCCACCTCAAATATCTTGGTCACATGCAAGAGTGCACAAACGCTCTACAAGAGAAGAAATAATAAAATGTCACACCATGTTATCTCACCCAAAACTTCTCCTTGCTGCTTCAGTAACTCATCTGTTCCATGCACATGATAGCACTGTTCGGGTGGAAGAATTGAAATTGTCATTCACTACCGTTATATCATCCTAAGAAACCAGGTTTTGTGCAGAGTCATGTGATGCAAACATAAAAGAAGATGACAAAAGAGTTGGAGAGTATAGCTTTCAGTTAGCCAGACAAGTGAAATACAAAAAATCAGTGGACTGTCAGAAAGGAATGTGGATGAAAGCATTTCAATTGGATACTTGCACACCTTCAAAAATGCTGCCCAGTCACTAGCAGTACACGTGGAGCTCGGGGAGTTGAATTTCTAGCAAAAACAAATGAATGAATTGCTGAGATTCAGGATAACCTAAATGATAAAAGAGATATCTTTACACTAA